AGTCATTGCCAAGCAGTTTAACAACATGCTGCCAGGAGGTGAAACTGAAGATTGGTTAGCATTTGGCAAAACCTACCTGATAATGAAAGATCCAACAAAAGGGGCAGCACCAGGCAAATACAGGCCAATTGCCTGCTTGCCAACAACTTTCAAATTGCTAACTGGTGTGATAGCTGATACAGTCCAACAGCATCTAGCTGAAAACGAGCTCTTTCCATCTGAGGAGAAAGGAAACCTCCCCAAACAGCAGAGGAATAAAAGATCAGCTCCTGATTGACAAGATGATTTTGGAAAACTCTAAGAGAAGGAAGAGCAACTTGAATGTAGCTTGGATTGATTACAAGGAGGCATTTGACTCCCTGCCACATGCCTGGATTATCAAGTGCTTAGAAATAACAGGAGTCGGTAAAGTTTTCTATTTCCCTTGTGCTGGTTTGTATTCTAACACCCCAAGTTGCTTCACTATCAGCTGGATCAATACAAGTATGGGAGAAACCTTTGAAAACAGATTGGGACATTGGAGTGTTCTTGCCTAATCGTGAAGTCCTGTCTACCAAATAAAGGGGACTTGTCAAATGCAATAATGAGACTTACCCACCAGTTCAGTACTTACGATATCCCTTACCTCCATGATGTCTGCAGGGAGAAAATCCAACAAGTTTATTTTGCAGATCAGCATCTTCGATTGCATGGAACTTATTGCTCTCCCAGCCCCATTAGCCGCATAAAAGGATGGCAAAAGAAGCAAAAGTCCAACAGAAGCCATGGTTGCTTAAAAGTAAGAAGTCCACAAAAGTTCACCAAAGAGTTCATCAGGCAAGTTCCAAGAGTCCAGCAAAGTCCAGCTGCAAATGCTGTGTGGGGGCTGTGGGCACTGGCGGCCCCCCTAGTGGCAGCTGGGGCTTTCTGGGAGAGGGAAAGTTTTGCTGGGAAATATCACAAGCCTGTGGCCCCCCTGTGGCAATTGTCTCCAATCCTGGGGGCAAACCAGGTTCTTGTAATGAAGTCTTTCAGTGCTTCTCCCCCATTTTGCCTTGAATGTCGATGGTACTGTTCAGTTGCTATGGGATAAATAGCTCTAGATAGGCATCCCCTCCCATCTGGAATCCTCCAGGTATCTTGAATATCCTGCACTGCTTCATATCTCTGAATAAACGGCAGATAATAAACAACAGCAACCTCCTCTGAAGATGCCGGTGTCAGGCCTCGCCCGAGGAACTCCAGGAGACCATGCACAGCAATGTTTATTAGCTACAACCTCTAGCAAGAATCTTCCCAGACTGAAAACTCCGTTCCCACAGTAGCTATGAAAACAGAATGAATTCCTCAGGGAGGTGCCAGCCTCATCCTCTTATCTCTTCCTCGCCCCTCAGGAGACGAAAGAGGATGCTTGCCTCCCTGAATGTGGCCTTCATAATTCCATTCCATCACAGCCGGTCACAGATGCTGGCGAAACGTTAGGAACCAAAACTTCCAGAACACGGCCACGCAGCCCGGAAGACTCACCTCAGCCATCGTATTCCAGCTGTGAAAGCCTTCGACAATACATAGAAACCTCTTAATTTTCTTCTAATGTGCATGCAACTTACACAAATCACAATGCTCAAGTTATACACAAGATTTATACAGACCGGAATGAATGGTGGATGCGGGTGTGGTCAGAGCCTGCATTTACGCCCCCCCCCCAAACATTCCTTTATCACACCAGAGAGACTCAGCTTTTAAAGGGACAGAATCACATAATTTTTAAACTTTCTTTCTGCAACTCAATACATTTTCTCAACCTGACTTTTTTTATACACCTGCACATACAAATCAACACAGATAAATGCCTACAAACAGAAAATACTGGTGCTATCTCTTTCTCCCAAAAAGGAAGGAAGGAAGGAAGGAAGGAAGGAAGGAAGGAAGGAAGGAAGGAAGGAAGGAAGGAAGGGAGAGAGCACCTCCCTGCTTGTTCTTGCATGCAATCTGTCACAGCCTTGTAGGGACACAGGAATTCATCCTCCCTGCTTCTCAGCGGGGAGAAAGAGAAGTCTAGTCCTGATGTACAGGCAGGAAGGTTCATGTGGAACTCAATCAAGCCATTCAACAGGGAGACAGACAAACAGAAACAAATATATTGTTCTATTACTTACATATTCTTGAATAAAAGAAAGGCTGATTAATTTGACTGTAATGGCAGGGTAGTAGTATTTATTTAGGTACCAAATCTTCTATTAGCTTCGATGGTTTTAAATTACAGTCTTGCAATAGTTACCCTAATATTTCCAATTGGCTCACTGCTTGATCCTGAGCAATATTTATAAAAAAGAAAAAATCCAAATGTCAGTGGCAAATTAATTCAGAAAAAGACAACTGCTATAGCTTTAAGATTTTTTAACATTTTATTTTTAGCACTAAGCTGCACATGCTTAAAAGCTCTTTCAGTGTTTGGTGTAAAATGCATCATGAGTTTCATCAGAGCTTTGAACTTTGGTATTTCGTCGAGTACTCTTAATGGGATTAATTTTGCTTTTTGGCTGAATTACAAGGAGAAGATCTCGAGACAGTGTTTGCAATTGACTACTGGATTGCAGGGACAAATTTCATCCAAACGTTGTGCCCTAAAATACCAATAGCCCATTTTTATTATATTTTCTTCTTCTCTCAAAAAAAAGTTTCAAAAGTTTCAGTTAACAACTATTAAAAGCTCACCATTCTGGCCAATTTTGTTTACCCTAATTATCCAAAAATCTCTGCCAGTTTCTGTTTAGAAAAAAAAAATAGCTTGCCTCTTACCAATTCCAAGTTGAACCGGGAGCTTTCTGGCACCCCAAGCCTGCAGGAATTCTTCTAAGTAAGCTTGTTGTATGTTTCTAAGAGGGAACAGCCCAGCTGCTCCTGTGGTGGTGTCGGCCGCTTTCAGTTGTGCTAGCTTTCCATGTTGTTTTTGTGATTCCATTGTTTGCAGTCTAGCTGATTTTCTCACAAAGCAGGGAGTCCCTGAGGCTTCCCCCCATGCCCGTATGCTCCCTCTCAAATACCTGATCTACTCCATCAGAACTGGTTACACCCTTTCTCCAACAGGTGATGGTTTCACAGGTGAAAGCGCCTGCACGGTTGCAGGTCCTGCAATCTCACTCTGCTCTCCCACAGCTCCTCTGTGGAGGACACGAGATTGGAATGAGGTCATCCTCATCCCTTCAGAAGTAGGATGGGAATGGCAGATCAAGGGAAGGGATGGAGGGCAATAGTCTTTTGAAACATCTTCTGGGCGCCTTGTTGCTCAGCCACATCAGCCCACAGGACCCAAAAGTGCATCTGGGAGGGATGGTTCTGCTCAATTTGCACTTGATCTGTCCCTGGCAGTCACAAGTCAAAAGGACCCCCACTTTGGCCACCTCTCCTCCCGTGAAAGGAGTCCAGTGTACCTTGTCCACTTCCACATGCACAGAATGAGCACTCTCCTTTGACCACTCCCTGCTGGACGCACAGGTTTACCTGGTCCCACAACTGGATCA